GGGTGGTTGTAAGGTGGGACTGGGAGTAGATGGGGTAGTTGTAGTGTGGGGGTGGGAGGTGGTATAGTGGGGTAAGGGTGGTAGCGTGGCGTGCTGTTTGGGTGGGGGTGGGAGACTGGTAGGGGGACGGCTCCCCATAGTGGTTGTAGTGGAGGGTAGGGGGATGTCAGGGCCCCCTCAGTGCTTTCAGAGTGGGAGTGCGGGTGGTCAGGCCCCTTGGCCTGGCCGAGCAGCTGAGGTGGGAACTGGTTCTGTTACCTGCATCTTGACTGCAATCACCACAGAGATGAGCTCCTTCTCCAGCTCCTTGAAGACCACCAGCTTCTTCAGAGTCAGGCTGCATAACCTGGAGGGACACAGGTGCTCTCTTGTGACCATGCCTCTGTGGTCACTTCTGGAAGTAGCAGGACCATCATAGTTTCCAGTGCCCTTTCTAGCCTGAAAGAGACTGAGAAGCCACACATGGCCACAGCCAAGCTGTGGGCTAGTGTCTCCCCAGGGTCCCAGAGGTTGGTCAGGCTCTGCGACGGGTTAGGGGAAAGGCCATGATCTGAGGCCACAGTATAGTGTGGCCAGAGAGAAGTGGGGGTCAGTGCTGACCTGTCCTTTTCCCATGGGGAACACAAGCTCATCCCATTTTCTCTCAATCAGCTCTGCTCACCTTCTGTGGCTCCAGCTGCCCCCACACTGATCGAGGCCCCCTCCCTGGTCCTGGCTGCCCCTCTATGGCTCCATGACCCTCCACTATCTGGCGGCCACACTAGCCCCAGCTCCCCCCCAACCCAGTCCCAGCTGTCTCCTCACTGACTGGTTGCCCACTCCTGTTCTGGCCCCCATGACTCCAGCCTCCTCTTACTGGCTGCCCACTCCAGTCCTCGCTTCCCTGCTACCTGGACCCAGTTGTTCCCCCATCCCCTTCCTGGCCCCAGCTGCCCTCACACTAGCCCTTGCTATCCACCCCCACCATCGCAGGCTGCCTCCCCTGGCTCTGACTGGCCCCTCACATCCTGGCTGCCTCCCACACGGCGGTCCACAGAAGTAGGCCCAGGACTGTCTCTTCCTGGTACAGCCACCCAGCATCAGCCCCACCCGCCTGGCTGTGACTGTGGCCTCCAGTGAGCAAGTGAAGAGGGAAAAGATGCAGTGGCAAAGGCTCCAGAGAAGCTGAAAATTCACCAGAAAAGCCAGTAACTGACTGATCAGACTTGACACACAATCCAAGCCTGCCCGACACTGGGGAGAGCTGACGTTTCTAAACAGCCACGGTCAAAAGCACATCACAGCAGGGAAGTCAGAAGCCACTTTGAGAGAATGAAAATACAACATAGTAAAAATATGATAGATTTTTTTAATTGTAGTAACTATCTAGGTCGTTTCTGATACCTTCACATGCACAGATCAAAGGTATTAAATAAAGTCACCACCTGGTTTAATCACCATCACAAAACACCAAAGCTGCTGGGTGATGCTCGAGTTGGGTAGAAGGATAATCTAAAGTATTATCTGCTTGAAATCAGAAAAGGAGAACAGTTTCAAATAAAGAACCCAAGTTTCTACCTTTACAAACTATGCCAAAGGGGAAATGAAACTCCCAGAAAGCAGAAGAAAACATAGTCAACCAATGAAATGGAAAATACACAACCAAGAAAGAACAAAAACTGGGATCAAAAAAACATCAATTGAAATAAGTGACAAACCTCTAGAAAGACTCACAAAGAGTCATTGTTGTTAGGTGACCTCCAGTCGAGCACGACTCATAGCAACCCAACAAACAAAAGACCTGAACCCTATTCTATCCTGTGCCATCCTCACACTTCCTGACACACAAGAGCCCATTGTGGCAGTCACCATATCAATGCACCTGGTTGAGGGTCTTCCTCTCCTTTGCTGACCCTCCACCCTTCCCAATATCATGTCCTTCTCCAAGGAATAGGCCCTCCCAGCAATATGTCCAAAGGATGTGAGGCGAAGCCTCATCGTTCCTGCCTCCAAAGAGCACTCTGGCTACTCCCTCTCTGAGACAGATCTGTTTGTTCTCTTGGCCGTCCATGGGATGTTCAGTGCTCTTTTCCAACACCACAGCTTAAAGACGTCAATTCTTTTTCTGTCATCTTTATTCACTGACCAACTCTCTGATGCATAGCAAGTAACTGGAAAGACAATGGCCTGAATCAGAGGCACCTTAGTCCTCAAACTGACATCATTACTTCTCAATAATTTGGAGAGGCCCTCAACGGCATATTTTCCCAGGGCTATATGTTTCCTTATTTCCTGACTGCTAGTATGAAGGGTGTTAATTGTGGATCCAAGCAAAATAAAGCTGTTGACAGTTTCAATATCCTCTCCATCCATCATGATACTGCCTATTGGTCTAGTGGTAAGAATCTTTGTTTACTTGACATTGAGATGCAACCCATACTGAAGGCTGCATTACTTGATCTTCTGCAACAAGTGTTTCAGGTTCCCACTTCCAGCAAGCAAGGTTGTGTCATCTGCATAACACTGGTTATTGATGAGTCTCCTTCCAATCTTGATCCCACACTCTTCATAGAGTCCATTTCCAAGAAAGGTAGGTGATCCAACTGAATGTAGAAACTATCAAACAAGATCATTAGTATCACGAATGCAAGCAAAATACTGCTGAAGATCATTCAAAAACAGCTAGAACAGTACATAGATAAGAAACTGCAAGAAGTTCAAGCAGGATTTAGAAGAGGCCGTGGCACCAGGGATATCACTGCTGATGTCAGATAGATCCTGGCTGAGAGTAGAGAGTATCAGAAGAATGTCAATTTTTGTTTGCTGACTGTGAAAAGGCATTTGACTGTGTGGATCATAACAAGTTGTGGCTCACACTGAAAAGAATGGGAATCCCAGAGCACTTGATTGTGCTCATGTGAGACCTAGACCTGGACACAAGGCTGATGTGTGAACAGAGCAGGGGAGTGGAAAGGTGGAGTGTCAGCAAAGGAGAGGAAGACCATTGTATGGGCTCCGTGTGTCAGGAAGTGTGAGGATGGCACAGGACAGAGTTCAGATCTCTTCCTCACAGGGTCACTGTGAGTCGTATTGGACTTGACAACACATAACAGCAAATCCTTATCAGCCATCCAGCATTCGCATGTATAGGGAATATTACCTTATTATCATTGATTTTTTCTACTGTTTTTGTCTCATATGCTAACTTGACAAAATGAATCTAGAAGCAGTTCTCTCCTTGTAAAAAATTCTGTGGAGTGGGTGTCATTTCTTCTTTAAGTATTTTATAAAATTTGCTTTGAGTTCTGAGGTCGTTTTAGTAAATACGGAACAGTTCTGGCTGGGTCTTGGAGAGTGCTGTTGGTTTGTGACTTTTAAGAAGTTCTGTTTGGTATGAGCTGGGGAATTCACACGTGTAGAGTGGTCTGAAGTGCCCCTTCTACTGTTTTCACGTTTGCAGCAGTGCCATGATAACCTTTTATTTGTATATTGGACTTTTTCAACTTCTTACTCTTTCTTTGCTCATCATACAAATTAGTAAGTTGGAGAGAGACCACACCCCCAACACCCCCCCTTCCCAGTTTCTAACCATGCCACGTTCCCCTGCTCTGTTCACACATCGTGTTAAAGAAAGGTCTGCTGGGCAGTCCTACTCGCAGCATTGTTACCTGTGAGACTCTGGGAGTGTTACCTCCAAGGTTGGGAAGAATGACTGCTACTTAATACTGGTTTTGAGGTATTCTTTTGCAACAAAATACAGGGAAATTGGACTGATTCCAATTGGACATGATTCTTGGAACATGGTGGCCAGTGACTGACCCCATTCAGCACTTGAGCACAAGATGCAGTGAATCCCACTGTGAATTACAAGCCTCAATTTTAATTAATAGAATAAGCCAAATATAGGTGACTCTGTTCAACAGTGAAGCTCTGTAAATTTCAGGTCATTGCTGGGGTCACCTAGCTAGTTCTAACTCACACCCATGCCCGCACCAGACCACAGCTGTTACTGTGTAAACTCATTGCCTCAGCCCATCTCACTGGGTTTCCCTTATCATCATGTTTGCTCGCAAGCTAAAGGTGAAGGAAATAAAAACACATCCATGACCTTGAGGGTGCCCTGCTTAAATTTATAAACCATCTCAGGAATAGATACAACACACAATGAGACCAGACAGCTGTGGGCAGAGATCAAGGAAATCACACATGAACTAAAGGGTCAGTAAAGACAAGACCGAAGGGAAAAGCTATGAAGGAACTGGCAAAAAACAAGGCTCCAGGAGTTGACGGCATACCAATTGATTTATTTCAACAAACAGCTGGCCAACTGACTGGAAGAGATCGATATTTGTTCCCATTCCAAAGAAAGGTGATCCAACAGAGTGTGGAAATTATCAAACAATATCATTGATATCACATGCAAGCAAGATTCTGCTGAAAACTATCCAAAAACATTTGGAACAAGATGTCAACAGAGAACTGCCAGATGTACAGGCTGGATTTAGAAGAGGTTGTGGTACTAGGGATATTATAGCTAATGTCAGATGGATCTTGGCAGAAAGCAGAGAATACCAGAAGAATGTCTGTGTTTCATTGACTATGCAAAGGCTTTTGACTGTGTGGGTCACAACAAGCTAAGGCTGACTTTGAGAAGAATGGGAATCCAGAACATCTGATTGTGCTAACGCGAAACTTATACTCGGACCAAGAGGCAGTCGTCAGAACAGAGCAAGGAGACACGACATGGTTCAAAATCAAGAAAGGGGTCCGTCAGGGATGCATTTTGTCTCCACACCTTTTCAATCTGTATGCAGAACAGATCATCCGAGACACTGGGCTGTAAAAGGAGGAATGTGGCATCAGGATTGGTGGAAGAATCATCAACAACCTGCATTATGCAGATGACACAACGCTGCTTGCTGAAACTGAGGAGGACCTGAAGCGCCTGCTGCAGAAGGTCAAGGACTGCAGTCTTCAATATGGACTGAAGCTCAATATCAAGAAAACAGGGATTCTCACCACTGGGCCAATTGGCAGCATCAGTTACGGATGGTAAAGAGATTGAGATGTTAACAGTTTTCGTTCACTTGGTTCCACAGTAAACACTCTTGGTAACGGCAGCCAGGAAATCAGGGGACGAATTGCATTGGGAAAGTCAGCTCTGAGGGACCTCTCAAGAGTACTGAAGTGCAACGACATCAGGCTGGAGACTAAGGTGTGCCTGATCCAGGCTATAGTCTTTGCAATTATGTGCTATGTATCGGAGAGTTGGACAGTGAATAGGGATGATAGAAAGAGATTTGAGTTGTGGTGCTGGAGAAGAGTGTTAAATATACCATGGACTACTAGGAGTACAAACAGGTTTGTCCTGGAGAGGGTGAAGCCAGAATGTTCCCTGG